TCATCAAATCACAAAGGAAAACAGCAAGAGAAAAAAAGAGAGAGCACGAAATTACAAAAGAGTGAGAAAACAATTAACAAAATAGAAATAGTAAATCTTTACTATCAATTAGTACTTTAAATGTAAACGTATTAAATTCTCCAATCAAAAGATAGAGAGTAGCCAAATGAATTTTTTTTTTTACATTCAGAATTTTAATTTCAAAACAAAGAACCATAGTAACATTAATAATGGAAAATCCATATAGAAATATTCACAACCTGGTGACTGAGAAATAGGAAAACTGTTACCCTGCATTACTGTCAACCCATTGTTTGAGGAGCCAGAAGCAGAGATGCAGATCAATTGGAGGAAAGTCACCTTTTTCAACAAGGCCCCACTCCATAGCTATGTGAGTTTTTACACAAAGGCTTGACAACCAGAGGAAATGGTGAGAACTGAGAACTAAAATACTGCAAGAATTTGGCTAAATATCCAAAATGTGCAAGCACCAAGATGGGAAAGGAGATCAAGTAACATATGGAAAAGGGAAGAGAGGGTGAGTGGCATCATGGTTTAATCTCTGTTTATAAAAATACTGGGAAACTCGGAGATGACTGTGGAGGTGTCCACAACCTGTGGCAGGAGCAAATCCCTCCATCACGTCTAACCCTCTGAGGCCAAATGGATTAAAAAAAACACTGTATTCTGTTCTCATGAGACTTGACTCAGCTTTAAGGACACACATAAGCTGGAAGTGTGGAGACAAATTGTTTTCTATGCAAATGGATACCAAAAGAGAGCAGGGGTAGCTATACTTACATCAGACAAAACAGACTTTAAGTCAAAAAGTGTAACAAGAGACAAGTCACTATATAAGGATTAAGGGATCCATTAATCAATAGGATATAACAATCATAAATATATATGAGTATGCACCCAACACTGGAGCACCTAAATATATAAATTAAATACTAACAGATCTTAAGGGAGAAATAGACAGTAATAAAACAATAGTAGGGGACTTTAATACTCCGCTTTAAACAATGGATAAATCAACCACACAGAAAATCAATAAAGAAACATCAGACAGAAACTATACTTTATGCCAAATGATCCTGAAAGACATACAGAACTTTCCATCCAACAGCAACACAATACAAGTTCCCCTCAAGCACACACAGAACTTTCTGCAGGATAGATCTTATTTTAGGCCACAAAACAAGTCTTAACAAATTTAAGATTAAAATCATAACAAGTACATTCTGTTTCTGCTCCATTCTGAATTCCTCATTACCAAGACTTCTTGGACTTCCTTTTATCTTTATCACAGAAAATCTTTACATTGTTCATGTACTAAGCCTCACATTTCCTTGATCCCAAGTCTTTGTCTTTTTTGGTTTATTCTTCATTTTGGTGGTAAATATTTTCCAGTGGCTTCCTAAGAATGTGTGCATGAGAGATATGAGACCATATATGCCAGAAAATATCTTTATCCTAACTTTACACTTGATTGATAATCTGACTGGATATATAATTTTAGGATGAAAAGAATTTCTCTCCCAGAATTATAAAAACATTACTCCATGTCTTCTAGCAATTGAGACAATCATTGCTACTGTAATTTCTAATCCTATATATGTGACTGAGTTGGTTTTTTTCCCACTCCAGGAGGTTTTATGATCTTCTCACTATCTCTAGTGTTCTAAAATCACACAATAATGGTCCTTGCTATAGATCTTTGTGCTGAACACTAAGTGAACACTTTGAGTCTGGAAACTCATGACCCTGAGTCTGAGAAATTTCTTGGATTACTTCTTTAACGAAGTCCATTTTCTCTGTTCTCTACCACTGAAATTCCTACTAATTACTGTTAGAGCATGTAGATCAATGATTATGTGATCAAATGTTTAAATTAATTATTTTAATGAAAGTCACTTAGAAAAATTTCTAGGAATCTAGATTTGCATTCCAGCAGAGAGGTTAAAGACCTATTAAAAAATCTGGAATTCCACAAATATTGATGTCAAAGCCCCAACTTGGTCTTAATCTTATAAATCACAGTTAACAAATGTCTTATACGAAAGAATGAAAGATCTTTTTAATAGTTCAACATTTGTTATACACAAATATATATATTTATCCCTGCATTCAAGATATTAGTTTCCACTACCTTGTATTTTAATATCATTCATTCACTTGTTCATTCA